CATCAAAATTCTCCAATCCACTTAGATCTTACCACTTGTCCGAAGGTCCATGTTCCAGACCACGATAAGAACAACTGACACCCACCATAGGACCCTGATAAAACTTTTTCTCAGTCTTACTCTTCCATGGTCACCACCCGAAGTCAAGCCCAATTTGTGTCACGAGATGGAGTTCAACTCAATGATGACCCTTCAAAATCAAATGCAGATGCTAATTCAACAAAACAAAGAGCAACACAAAGGCTACGACTTTAAGCTTGAAGCCATGTGTGTCAAACATCAACTTGACCTCCAAACATTGAACCAAAAGCTGAGCAACTTGGAGAATGAGAGGTCTCCTCCACATCCCCGTCCTCGGAAAAAGAACCCTCTGTCAATAATACAGACTTGACACTTAACGACAAGCAAGGAATCTCCTTTGCAAAAACAGCGCAATAAAAGTCAAACCTTGATGTGTATGGGAGCCTTCAGGAGGAGGGTCATCACTATTCCTAGGTGGAGCGCAATTCGGGAGCACTACAAAACTCCCCAAAAATTATATCTAATTCGCTCGACACGAACTTGAAAGATCGAAATAGGATTGAAACAGGTCAATCTGACACAAAACTAGAAAAACTCGTGATAAATCCTCCCACTCAAAGCTTATATATATAAGCTTTGAGTGGGAGGATTTATCACGAGTTTTTCTAGTTTTGTGTCAGATTGACCTGTTTCAATCCTATTTCGATCTTTCAAGTTCGTGTCGAGCGAATTAGATATAATTTTTGGGGAGTTTTGTAGTGCTCCCGAATTGCGCTCCACCTAGGAATAGTGATGACCCTCCTCCTGAAGGCTCCCATACACATCAAGGTTTGACTTTTATTGCGCTGTTTTTGCAAAGGAGATTCCTTGCTTGTCGTTAAGTGTCAAGTCTGTATTATTGACAGAGGGTTCTTTTTCCGAGGACGGGGATGTGGAGGAGACCTCTCATTCTCCAAGTTGCTCAGCTTTTGGTTCAATGTTTGGAGGTCAAGTTGATGTTTGACACACATGGCTTCAAGCTTAAAGTCGTAGCCTTTGTGTTGCTCTTTGTTTTGTTGAATTAGCATCTGCATTTGATTTTGAAGGGTCATCATTGAGTTGAACTCCATCTCGTGACACAAATTGGGCTTGACTTCGGGTGGTGACCATGGAAGAGTAAGACTGAGAAAAAGTTTTATCAGGGTCCTATGGTGGGTGTCAGTTGTTCTTATCGTGGTCTGGAACATGGACCTTCGGACAAGTGGTAAGATCTAAGTGGATTGGAGAATTTTGATGTATGCTCCAGAGAGTTGGAATACAAAAGAAGATCTACATACAAAAACTTTCTGAGGCTCAAATCAGTAAGGAAACTTAGATATTTATAAATAAAAGAAAGAGCATGAGAAAGTGTGTATTTCCTAGTAAAACACCATATGTATCTTTAAAGTTTCTGGATCCTATGACTTAATAGACAATATAAAATAACATCAATAAAAATAATAGCTTACCATATATATAATAATCAATAAAATAATCGTAATAATGTGATACTAAATCAAATATTATATAAATATAATCAAACTACTAAGATTTTGTTATATAATATAGTAATATATATATGAATATTTAAAATATAAGATTTCATAGATCCATTGTTTTAATATTTGAAGTTAAAGATGATGTCTGTTCAAATAAGATAAATTTATATTCATTGTTGTATATCTCAAGTTCTCTTTTAAAAATTCTCCACATTTCAATACTAATTTACTAATATTTATACTAATTTACTGAGTTTTATTTATTATGATGTAAATTTTCAATTATCAATCTACTGTACCCATTCTTAGGTTCATGTTTTCCATTAAACACATTCTAAAATAAGTTAAATAATATGTTTTTCTAATATATTATTTCCTTACGTATACATGGATTTATCTCTTTTTTTTATCAATTTTATATGATATAGACTAAGAAGTTAATGCAATGATCTACAAAACAAAATGATGTTGTTTATTCTATGAATGTTCACAATGAAAAGACTTAGATTTGATAGATTGTTTATAAAAAAAGGGAATGAAGTAAAGATGAAAGGAGGGTGGTAGATGATGAATAAATGATCATGCATTTAAAAGGGAATGGAGAATGCTTTAAAGTTCCAACCTCCATCTTTGCACCTTAGACCCACCACACCTTGAGGTAGTGGAAAGTTGGTGGAACTGGTTAATTCATTTTCCTTTTAGAATCTCTTCAACTTACTTTTCACAAAGTTGTTTCATTTCATTTGCATTTAATCATGTGTATTGATATATTATACTCATAATATTACAAGTTATAATTAGTCTATGATGACTTTGAAAATATTCATGACAAACTAAAAAATAAAAAACAAAAAACTGTTTTCCATCTTAATGCAACACACTTGTCTTTCAAATGTATCTATTTCCATTATTTTATTTCCACATGCAAATGAGGTCCCCCAAAGCAAAAAAAAAATAATTTCTTCTTTGTCTTTTTCTGAAAATTAAGATCGTGAATTGAATTATGAGGGAAACGATGTAAATGAATAAATTTCATCTACCTTTGGTATTAGTAAAAGGAAAATTAAAACTAACCCATGAGGCACGTGTCGTCGCTCTAAACTTAAATTAAATACTAGGTTATGGAATTTGATTATTTTTTATGTGTTGCGTAAACAGAGGACATGATCCTAAAGCGATGGAAACATTGATGAAACAAATTCAAAGTACAATTAAATATGTCAGAAAAATGGGTACTCCCTTGTTTGTTTTTTTCTTTCTTATATTTTCATGAAATTCTAATATCTTGTGAATAGACAGAAAACAGAATCGTAGAAGTAAAGGATCCAAGATGCAATCTCCAACTTCAAGAGATCCATGGTCAAGTGCACATATAATACACGACAACCTACACCAAATTTCCATGGATTTCAAGTCAATATACCTTCCTTATCACTTAGTTACTTATTTTCATTATTTATTTAAAATAAGATAGTATCATATTAATTTATTGTAATTTTTTATTGTGGGAATCCAAAACTAACTAAACTCAAAGATTAATTAATTAATTAGCTAGTTAAATAGGTTCCAAACACTCATAGACCCAAATTAAATGTACCGTGTAAAACTTGACTAAAAATGTTTGATCCGTAATTATATGTAATTTTTGCTCTCTTTGCACTAAAAAAGAAAACAAAACTGGTGGAAATTGAGGTAGAAAATAGAATAGTTATTTCATATATAAACCTTAAGTAACCTTTATCCATGTAATAACTTCTAAAAAATTTAAATACAAAACTAAGAACAAATAGAAGAGAAAAAAAAAAGATAAAACACTGGTGAAAAAGATGGTTGAAGCAGCAGAACAAAACCTGAAAACCTCTTCTACACATCAACGCTACAACTTTGCAAGAGGTGGAACTTCACTCCTTCGGCATTGCTCCGATCTCCGGCGAAGCTAATATACGCGGGACAGTTAACATAAATATGGTACCTTCCAGAGACCCAAGTTCCGACCTTCCACTTCACTCTCCCGTTGATCTTAACGTTGACCATAACAGTGCCGGCATTTTGGTCCTGCTGCAGGGAGGCGAGAACAAACGGCGCGACGGGGACGGTGTTACCGTAGAGGAAGGGCGACCAGACGGTGAAGTCGTGGTGGCCCTGGTAGGTGTCGGGGAGGGCGGTGGGGAGGGAGATCTGCTGGCTACGGTAGGAGGCGTGGAGGTGGAGTGCGTGGTAGTAGACGCCGATGCGGGAGTTGGGGTTGTGGGCGGAGAGGGTGACCTGCATGGTGAGAGAGAGGGTGTTGGGGATAGGGGAAGAGAGGTTGAAGGTGAAGAGGGTGGCGTCTTGGAGGGTGAAGCGGGGCTTCGCCGGGCGGAGGATGACCCATATGAGGAAGACAAGGAAGAGGACTACGAGGATGAAGGCAGCGACGCCGACAAGGACGAGGCGGATGAGACGGCGGTGCGAAGCGTGGTGGTGGCCGCAGTCCTTGGTGGACATGGTGGTTGTTGGAGAATTACTTGGAGGAATAATGAATTGGAGTGGGACGTGTCTGTAAATATGAGTGAGTATATATGTAATGCAAATACAAA